GCAGCCAGCCTCCCAGGCAGAGCAGAGGAGCCGGGAAGGAGGGGCTCTGGAGGGACCTGAGGACATCCAGGGTGCCCCCAGCCTGGGTCCTGTCTCCCTCTTCCCCCAGGCCAAGCCCTCAAGCTGCCCCCTGCCCTGGTGGCTCCTCGGTGACTCCAGCAGGGTTTGGATCCTGATTAGCTCTGAGGCTTGGGCAGGGCCTGTTGCTCACCTGTAACTGGGACCACCTGGGGCTGCTTTATGGATGAACAATGCAACCTCTGCCCCACCCACTCCTGCCTGCGGCGTTTTCTGGGCCTGTTTGTTTGTGAGCAGCTTCCTTTTTATCCAGCAGCTCAGCACCTTAGAGGCTGCAGTGGGAGCCCAGCTCTCTGAGCTCTGCCGCCTGAGGGGGCCTCGGAGAAGAAAGATGCAGGAGCGTGGGCCTAGCGAGACAAAGGCCCCGTGAGCAAATGTGGGGCCAGGCCCAAAAGAAGAACACCGAGGCACGGTGCAGGGCCCGCTCAGTAACCCACTCAGGTGTGTCAGAGCAACACATGACAAACTCTTAAGGAAGCTCCCAGCTCCCAGTCTAGAGCCCAGCCTTGTCGCCGAGAGAATGACCACCCTGGGCTCCTGGCCGGGCAGCCGTGCAGGAGCCCGTAGGAAAGGACTCAGTGAACCAGTGTCCAAGGACAGAGCTCAAGGACAGTGTCCAAGGACAGAGCGCCAGAAACACAGCGGGGCACGTGTCCCAGCTGCTGGTGAAGGCGCATGAACAACAGGTCTCACCAGCTGTGCATTTTGAAAAATAAAACTATTAAATAAAAAATTAGCCCTAACTGGTTTGGCTCACTGGATAGAGCATCAGCCTTCCGACTGAAGGGTCCTGGAATCTATTCCAGTCAAGGCCATGTACCTTGGTTGTGGGCACATCCACAGTAGGAGGTGTGCAGGAGGCAGCTGATTGATATTTCTCTCTAATTGATGTTTCTTACTCTCCATCCCTCTTCCTTCCCCTCTGTAAAAAAAAATCAATAATATATATATATATATATATATATATATATATATATATATATATATATATATATTTTTTTTTTTAATTAACAAACACACACACACACACACACACAATGTAACCTCATAAGGTACTGACAGCACATAGAAAATACCAGGCATGCCGAAACCGATGTGGCTCAGTGGATAGAGCATCAGCCTGCTGACTAAAAAGTCCCAGGTTCAATTTCGGTCAAGGGCATATACCTTGGTTGCAGGCACATCCCCAGTAGGGGTTGTGCAGGAGGCAGCTGGTTGATGTTTCTCTCTCATCGATGTTTCTGGCTCTCTATCCCTCTCCCTGCCTCTCTGTAAAAAATCAATAAAATATACTTTAAAAAATAAAATAAATAAATAAATAAATAAATAAAATGTGGCTACTAGACATTGTAAAATGGCATATATAGTGCACATTATATCTCAGTTGGAAAGCAATGAGCTATAGCTTCTTCCTGTTCTCAGATAAAAATGTAAATCCCCTTACTGTGACCTAAAGGCCCGACAGGACCTAACCCTGACCACCTGTCTCAGGTCCTTTCGTACATTCTCCCTGACCCTCACTGCCCTCAGGCAGGCTGACCTTATGATCCCTCTGACGTAGTAAGCGCATGTCCACCTAGAGTCTTTGTACTCATGACTCCAATCTTCTGGAATTTTCTTTCCATGGGGGCTCTACTCATAGCTGACTCATTCTCCTTCTTCAGGTCTCTGCTCACATGTCACCTCCTCCATCAGGCCTTCCTGGACCACCTGCTTTGAAGGAGTTACACGTCCAGTAAACTCTTCCTCCACTTGTGCTTCCCAATGCACTTGTTGCCATCCTTACTCAGTTACCTTATTTAATTATCTGCTCACCTTCTGGATGCCTGTCTCCTCCCATTGGAATAGAAGCTGTGTGAGGCAGAACTTTTCCTATCTTATTCACTGTCTTTTGTATCCACAGCCCATTGTAGTTCTCAAGTCACCCTTTGTTGAATGCATGCAGAAATAAATGAATGAATGGTGAAAAGAGCTTAGGTCAGAAGTCCCAGTTAGGACAAATCCAGTTCTAATGATGAGGACAACGCCCCCATCTTAGCAGGCGCCTACTCTTTTCCCCTATAAGCAATCCTCCATGGCCACTTTAGGAGGCAGTGGGTATAGCTGAAAGGGCACGGTCTGGAGGTAGAAGCGCTGATTGGATTTCAGTTCTGCCACTTACTGTCTGTGTGACCCTGGACACCAGAGCCCTTGACTGTCCCCAATCTCCATTTCCCCTCCGACTGGTTTTCTTGACGTTCAAATAAAGAGAGCATCTTATAAATATACCAGAGAGCCCGAGGGATATTTGTAAGACCAAGATGTTATTGAAGGGGAGAGATCCTTTCATTTACCTGGGTGTCCCCAATACCCAGCAATGCGTTTGGCTAAGGCAGGTGCCCCCAAACTGCTGGATGGATGAATGAAGCTTCTAATGAGCGAAGCCTCCAATAAGCCCCAGCCCCATCACAAAGCCATGAACCTTGGGGAAGTCAGATCTCTCTGCTGTTCCAGCCTGGATCAGGGACCTCATTTGTTCTCCCAGGGAAGCACATGGACCTCAGAGTTGGAGTGAGGCTGAGGGTACTGGCCAGATTGCCTCCATTTTCCAGAACAGGAGTCTGTCCAGGTGTCCACAAAAGCTCTATTGGTCTCCTGGAACATTTGGTTCCCAGTGTCCCAGTCAGCATCCTCATCCGGGAGGGGAGGAGGAAGAGAGCGAGCCCCGGGAAGACAGCAGGATCACCTGTCAGCCACCACACGTTCTCTTCCAGAAAGGAGAGTTCAGGCCACTCCAAGCAGTAGCCCAGGATTCTCACACTCGGAGAATCAGCCACACTACCTGCTTCCTTAATTGAAACTGAGGCCAAGAGTAAAAATTAGGAGAGGGGGAGGGAGTGTTGTGTTTGGAGCTAACAGTGTTAAAGTTAACACCTTTAGAATTATTCCATGGAACAATGATTTCTCAAGCTGGGGCAAGAAGGTGCCTGGGAGGGGAGTGGGAAATGCTATGGCTGGGAGGTGTCTGCCAGCTTGCCGGGGACAAGGCTCGCCTTTGTTCTTCCCCTGGCTGCCGAGTCAGAGAGCCTTCGGGCAGGACAGCTCAGGCAGCACTGCTGTTCCTAGCATTTGCTACCGAAAGGCCTGTCCTTGCAGAAACCTCTCTCGGCCAGGCTTCTGTTGGGAATGGGTTACTTTATGTACACGCTGGTTTAACATGCAGCCCACTGTGGAAGTTTGGGCAAGCCAGGCCAGGGGTAGCATCGCACCCTCTCTCCCTAGTCCACCTTGCCTGCTGATTTCAGATTAAAAACCAGATTCCAGCCTCCATTCATTCAACACGTGTTCTGAACACCTATCACCTGCTGTGGCTGGGGCTATAGCTGGGAAGCAAGCAAGACAGAAATCCATGAAAGAAGAAAAAGGCCACCCCGGGTCTTGCAAAAAGGGAGTCACCAACAGAAAGCCCTTCCAGGAGCGCGGGGTCACAGTTTGGGATCACTAGTCAAGGCTGTGGTTGCTGGAGCTGATGATGTGTTAAGAACCCAAAGGCTTTAAGGAGGAAACTGCCTCACGGAGAAGGTCCTAGGGTGTGGCCTGCACTGCAGCTCCCCCTGCCCCTTCAAATCGACCCCACGTGGTGTGCTTTGAAATAACACCACCCTTCAGCCCCTCCACAGAAGAGTTTTATTTCAGTCACTGGAGCCTAGTTTCTAGCACTGCCAATGCAGGTGACAGGATGGAACCCACAGAAAGAGCGGTTTCCTCCCCGGAGTGAGATGGGGCTTGTGTGTAGTCCTCTATCCGGGCAGGGACAATGCGTGTGGGAGCCCAGGTCTCTAGAACCGGCTCGATAGAGGCCTGTGGACTTACAGGCAGACAACAGGGCATAGAGGGGAGCCTGGCCAGCGCTGTCTTACAGGCGTCGTTGTTGGATGCTGCATGCAGCACAAATGTCCTGAATTATGGTCTGTAATCCTGTGCCCCTTCTCCCCAGTTGGGTTCTCCCTCTCCATCCCGGGCGAAAGCCTTGCTGGGGACTTCCATTTCAGGCCAGGTACCCTCTCTGCTCATACATCTCCATCTGTCAAACGGGAGTGATCGTCTTCATGGTAATGAGAGGACCGCAGGACACAGTAAGAAAACACGCCCATGGGAGTGAAGATGTACATCTGGGCATTCATAAAATCAGGATGGCCTTGGCCTTGTCTTCCTGCGGAAGCAGGAGGATTTACAAGTTAGGAGAGGCAGATTCATATTTTGCAAACATCAAGTTAAAACACGCACGACTCGCTGGTAGGCTCGCCCTTCTCTGGGGATTGGAGAGTGTGCCCAGGTTTGGGGAAAGGGAGCCAGCCAAGGCAGTGCCGCTGCAAGCCACCTGCCCTCCCTCCCCGGGCTGTCCCCCTCCGAGGACGACCAGGCAGAAGAGGTGGGAGGGGAACATAGCTCAGCGTTTATTTTTGGACCCAACTCACTAAAAATATCTCCGCCTTCCTGTTTGATCACTCTCCCTTTTGACCTGAATGAATCGCGTCCGGTGGGGCCCGCCCCTCCCTCTGCCCGGTGTCCTTTAAAGGAGAAGGGCGTGGGGACGGGTTCCTGCCTCTGCTCCAGGGACGGACCCGCTGGCTGGGGCCGCTGCACTGACATCAGGGCAGCCCTAGCTCCGCTGCAGCCTCCAGCCCAGCCCGGGCCGCCCAGAGGGAGGGGGGAAGCCGCGCGCTGCGATTGGCTGGCCCCGTGCGAGCGCCCGCGCGGATTGGCTGGCGCGGTTTTAGAGGGAGTCCCGCTCTCCAATTAAAGGGCCCGCCGCGCCCCGCTGCGCGCAGAGCTCCGCCTGGGCCCCCAAACTTGGCCATTCAGCCAGCGCGGTGCCGGCTGAGCGCCCTCGCGCCTCCGCTTGAGAAGCCAGGCGCTGCTGCTTCCCCAGCCCGGAGAGGATGGCGAAGGTGGCCAAGGACCTCAACCCGGGAGTCCACAAGGTGAGCTGCGACGTGTCTGTGCTTACCCAGACACTTTCTCCTCCCCATTTCCCTCTCCCAGGCGTTCCTGGAGACTTAGCTGGAAGCAAGAAGGAAATCCATTAAATCCCAAGACTTCACAGAAAACAAAATTGCTGGGAATACTTGTTTAAATTAATAGGTACCCCTTCAGGAATAAAAACAAACAGCAACAACCAAAAGCCCTGGTGTAAAGTGTTTGCAAGGAATCTTAGTTCTTTGGTGATGTTAATTAAAATATAAAGAAGGTGAGAACCTTTTTTTACATGGTAATCCCATGGTCTGTATGGGGAGGGGGAACCCTACCTTCCCCTTTCCTTTCCCCTCTAGTGATTGGGATAAAGGTTGGGGTGCGAGGGGACTGGCTTGGACTGTTTACTCACAAGGAATTCCCCCTTTCGCTGCCACCCTGGTGCTCTCTCTGTGTTTTCCACGCACGGTTTTTCAGTGGGTGATGTTGGCAGTGGCAGCGGCTCCAGCACACGAGAACTGATTTGTCCCCAAGGTCTGCACGTTTCCCTTTCAAGAAGGGCTGGCCCGGAGCCCAGAAGGTCATGGGTGAATTACCGCAGGAGGGGCCAGCGGCTGGGCCCGCAGCTCTAGCATCCACCAGTTTCTTACCTGCATGCAGTAGGGAGAGGGCACAGGCTTCCAGGACAGGACCTGGAAGGGAGCAGGCATCCTCGGCCAAGGGAGAAACAGAGGCCCTGGGTTGGTCCAGAGAGGGTTGGTCCCAGCAGGCAGCAGGGAATAAGGAAAGACCGCATTGGAACCCTGGTCCTGCCTCTTCTTAGCTGCACTGTATAGATGGGCACTTTCCAGAGCCCTCTTCCCGCTTCCAATGCCCGGGGGATGGTCCCCATGCCACTCTCCACCTCACTAACGGTGACGGTACATACCAGGTTCATCTCCTAAGGCTGTCTCTCCCTCCACCACCCCTTTTTAAAAAGACCTAACTGGCTTTCCTGAGGGATGCACGAATAGGGCAGTGTCCTCTGTACTAAACAGAGAGGTGCTCCAAGAAGTTTCAAATCAGTCATTTTTTTAAAACTCGGATTTCAGGGGACTTGGTCTTGCAGGGCGAAATCCTCCTTAGACATCTGCTGCCATTACCTGCAGGGTAGAGTGAGAAGGGGGGGAAAAAAAAAAAAGGAAATTATGTCAGAATCAAAATAAAAACACAAGCCCAGCCAAGTAGAGGCGCAGCATTCACGCATCGGATTCATAGCTGTGCCACCACCGCCTGGGGCGACTCCCATGGAGTCCAGCGGGCCCTCATCCGGGCCTTTCTCTGGAAGGCACCGTGCCCCCATGCCTTTGCCGGACTATTTGCAGAACCAAACCTTCTCTCCTCCCATGGAATTCTCGCCGCACTTTCGAGACTCACTTTACAGTTGTGGGTCTGTGAAACGTTTATTCTTGTATTATTAGTTATTGTGTTATTTTCCATATGAACAACTGTAAACCTCCTTTTGCCCCACCCTGTGTGCACCCCATGATGTGATCCCTGCCGTAAGTCTAGTAGCCATCTGTCACTGTACCAGTTCTTACGATATTCTGGACTGCATCTCCTGCCTTGCTCTTCTTTTTCTTTGCATCGCAGAGTGTGATTATGTAGGTTAGAGGTGGGACATGGTCTCCTTCTTGTCCCCTCTGGCGTCAATGTCCTCGGCCTGCATAGGGTTTATTTTTCATTGAGATCCGATTACAGGCTTAGAGAAAGAATGTGGTGGGTAGAGATGAAAGGGCAGCTATGTTTTACCTCTTGGGCCTGTGACAATGGGTAGGAAGATCGCCACTTGGTAGCTTAACCAACGTCTTCAACTCAAAGAGTCAAGGGAAGGGGGTGGAGGAGAAGCTCTCCTCGCTGAGCGAATGCTGTGTCATATCCAGGGTGTGCTGAAAAGCTTCCACTGCCTATTTACTTTTTAAAACTGCAACAAGCAGGGCATGTTATAACATTTGGCATTGGAATGCATAATCACATGGAGGCATTTCAGGATTATTTCATAGACTCTTGGAGCTTCAAGGGATCTATTTACAAAATGAGAAATTATCTTAAATGGCATATAAGCTGTCTCTACTGCCCTACACCCCTCAATACCCCTGCCGTGCCCCGGAAGCTGGAAAGTCATAAAAAGGTCTTCAAGAGAGAACATAAAACACACAACAACTGGGACAGTCTTAGAGGTGATCTGACCAACCCTGGACAGACCGGGGGACCTGCCTTGGGTCCCAAAGAGTTAGGGAAAGAGCTTAGAAACAGCTCCCTACCTCCTCTCCTCTTGCCAAGGCCAGCGTTCCCACTGGATGGATGCTCTTGAGTTGTTTTCCTGCTGGCGGAAGAGAGGTCTTGTAACACAGCATTCCCTGAGAATGACGAAATAGCCAGCAGTGCTTGGTAACGAAGGGTCCTGAAGGCCACGTGCCATTTCTCTTGGTGGAATCAACCCTTACTGTGGATTTGTTCTTCTGTTGTTGATTAAGTGTATTTAAGAATTTGGGGTACTGGTATTCTTGTAAGGAGACCTGGGTTCAAATCCCTGCTCTGCTACTTAACTAGCTGTGTGCTCTTGGACAAGCTAATGAGCTTGTGGGTCTGTGCCCTCAGCTGAAAATTGGGGAGACAGTAGCAGCATCTACTTCCCAAGAGGATTGTGGTTATTAAATGAGATGATGTATATAAAGGTGCTTAGCACATGAGCTGTTAAATAGAGTTAGCCATTATTATTGTCACTGGTGGTGGTATATTTCCATGGATGTGTGAATGCTGAATGGAGTCTTTGGGTGAATGAAGGGCTCATTTTTTTTTATGTGTCCAAAGCAACTATTTTCATTCGGCTGAACCAAAGCCCATTGCTCTGCCTCAATGAGGTAGGACAAGGACCAATGATCTGACCTTCATTCGAGTCCAGCAAATACATGGAACATAGAACTCTTTTTTCACTTTTTAGATAAGGACACTCTGAGATCCAGAGGGGTCTTGCTCCTTATCTGAGGTCGCTGAGAACCCATGCTGAAGCCCACTGGGCTTTGCAAGTATACAGGCCCCTCGGCTGCCAAGGAACTTGCAGGAATTCCGAAAGGACTAGGACAAAAAGATCTAAGAGCATGCTCCCTGTTGACTGAGGGTGTGCCAATGGACTGGCTCCAAAAGGTCCTATTTTTCATCCCTCAGCCCAATGTCAGGGGAGCATTCAGCGATGGTTCTTCTGAGTGCATTGCCAGCTGGGCGTCTCCCTCCACCCTGTCCACATCCTATCCCTCTTGGCTTTCCTCTCCTTCAGCTTTCTCTTCCCCTCTGTACTCAGCCCTTCCTGCTTTCACCTCCAGTTCCTGAGACGTGCAAAACTGCTGGCACGTCGCCTGGGTGAGCAGATCCAAGGTAAACACGGCTCCTCGAGAATTGTCCTTGGCTCCCTCCATCTTAAAAATATATTAAGCTGTCACTTAAAGACCTTAATAGCCATAGCATTGGAGACATGCCCATAGGTGTATGAGCAACTTGGCTCCAAAGAGAGCCTTAGTTTAAAAAAAAAAAGGAAGAAAGTAAAGGAAAACAAAATAAATTATCTAAAAGACCTTCTTAAATAATGCTCCAAAACAGATGCTGAACCTTTTACTTTGTCAATTGTAGGTGCTTGTCATACTGTGTGCAGATGTGTCTGAATATGTAGGGTTGGGGGCTGATGATTGGTCTCCTATGCATCTGCCACCTATGGTGAAGGGAGGCAGGAAAAGGCTTAGTTACACAGCATCTCAGCTCCAAGGACTTCTACAGGTAGGACAGTGGAAAGGTGACTTTTCTGTTCCCCTCGGAAGGTCCTATAGTTTCAATCTCTCTGCCGAAACTGGTTTGGCTCAGTGGATAGAGCATCAGTCTGCAGACTGGGAAGGCGGGGAGGGTCTCTAGTTCGATTCTGGTCAAGGGCATGTGCATTGGTTGCGGGCACATCCCCAGTGGGGGTGGGGGGTGAAGGAGGCAGCTGATGATGTTTCTCTCTCATCGATGTTTTTGGCTCTCCCTTCCTCTCTGTAAAAAAAAAAAAATCAATAAAATATATTTTAAAAATAAATAAATAAATAAATCTCTCCATATTAACTGACGAAAGGTGACAAGGAAGAAAAAGAATAGGTTGGATTCAGCAAAAGGCTGGGACCAGGAAGGAGGGACAGGCTTGTGTGTCTTTCTTTTTCACCCCTACTCTGCCACTTGCACTGAGAATAAGGTGAGGAGCAGTTGAGGACTAGAGTCAACCTCAGAAGAGGCATTTGATTTGACTTTAAAAAGGGACTCATTCTTTCTTTCCAAGTTGCTTCCTCAAAATAGTGTGTGTGAAATAAAGTGAAAATCTGTCATGTTAAGAACTGACCTTGGAAGTTCTCATATCTCGAGTATTCGTCCAACATGGTTTAAATATTTATTATCAGGAAAGTTTTGGGGCAAGGGGATGAGTCGTTACAATAACTATAGGCATGGATGCACTGGGTGATGGTGGGCAGGCCACTTTTCCATGAAGCGGCAGACCTTGGATGAAAACCTTCTAGTACGTTGATCTTTCCTGTCTATCAGGCTGTCTCCCAAATAACAAATGATCACAGAAAAGTAGGCCTAAAACTGTTTCCCTGAAAGCAGAATTGTGGGGCAGCTTTTCAGGACACCCAGAAGAGACAGTTGCTTTTTAAGTGCCTTTGTCTGGAAATGTGTCTCCCAAAGTCCCCCACCCCCCCAATCCCCTGCCTTTATTTGGCTGGCAGCTGCCATGATCTCACCAGATGCAGGGCCACCAGGCACTTCTACAGGAGCCTCTCAAGTTCATGCCATTTCCTTCCCTTCACGTGGAACCGTGGGGCGTCCCTAACCCATCTCAGAGCTTCTCGTATATCAACGGCACAGATCTACAGAAGCTCAAGACATGCTTTCTATAAAGCTTTTATATTATAGAAAGAGTTAAACAAGAAATTGGGGCTCAGATATGCCC